GATGCAATATTTGTAAAGAAAACAGTTGCAGCTGCAACGTCAGATCGTAAAATAATTAAACATAAAAAAGAAAAAATAAAATTGATGAATTACAATTATACTTCAACAAATTTAATAAAAATCGTGTTAGTATAAATCAAATCAATTTAGTATAAATATAGTTAAAATAATATATAGATAAAATTACCTCGTATTTTATCTGCTTATCATTGGTACTGTTAAGTAGATCATGAACTATGGTGCTGATCTTTTGAGCTTGATTCTTGCTAGTCTCGCAGGCCCACAGAAGCAATGATATTTTTATAATGTAATATAATATTGACGTTAAAAGCACGCCGAGAAATCGCATATTTAAACTAACGAGTATGCCATCTTGCCAGCGTACTATATGGGTGTAAATTTTAAAAGCGATATTACAAAAGGACATGACTATAATAGCAAGGAGTTGCAAACTGAAGATTAAGTTCAGCATTTGCACTGTGTCACTAATCGTCAGATGCCACTTCTTCAAGGCATTAAGTTTTAATAAAAATTGCTTTTTCCGCGTGTGACAGACAAATGCAGGAACACATGATTTCACATCTTCTACCACGAGTCTTTGCATGTGTGTCAGATTGTCATTAATACTTTTGAAACACGCTTTTAATACACAAACACAATTTATGTACAACATATTCATCACATATGTTAGCGTGGATAGATATAATGTGAATGTCATGAGCAGGATAGTTACAGGATTATTCGGTATCTCCATTTCCAATATAAAATATATGCATATCTGCGTGAATAAGAAGATAATGCCCAAAATATCTTTGGTGTGAATTAGTCTGGACATCTTTTGATAAGACTCTGAGGAAAGTTTTGAAGAGATCTTTAACACAGTCTGTAACAAGCGCATTCGCGGACCAATTAAGACGTGTGTGTTGATCATTACAATCCCGGTGAACGTAAAAAAACTGGTACTTTCGAAATTTCTGGTTAAATCTTTAAAACTGAATGTTGGAACAATATCATTGTAAATGAGTCCCAGATATAAAATACAGTAAAAGCAGATAATCACGGTTAACATGATGTAGTGCAGTTTTGATGATTCGAAGGTTGAAGTGTTATACTTGTACGGAAATATTCCGAGAATACGGCAAAAGGTGAAGCAGGGGTACATTAAGGATTGGAAGTCCGTGGCGTGAAACAACCGATATCTTTTCCACATTTTGCTTTTGGACTTAATACTGTCGAATACGATTAACGGAAATTTATGGAACAATAACAATCCTAATTTACAGTCTACATTATTAATGTATACACTTCAATATTAATATAGTTGTGAAAGTCTCTTTTCTAAATTTAAACTTCAAGTCCATCTCTTCGTAACAAGTGTGTAAACTGATATTGGTTTTTACGTGCTA